AGCCCAGGCTGGCCTTGAACTCACAGAGATCCGCCTGGCTCTGCCTCCCGAGTGCTGGGATTAAAGGCGTGCGCCACCAACGCCCGGCTCCAGTCCTCCTATTCTAAGCTATAAACTCCCCGAAACAAAGCTCTGCTTCTTCTTTTTATCAGTTAGGGACCCCTTGGGTCTAAGTGACAGAAATTAGCTTTAGTAAACTTAAGCAAATGGGAATTTTCTGAAAGAAATGAGAGGTCCATAGGATGAACATAAACCTGCAGAATGAGACGTTAATGGACAGGCAAAGGGGCAAGAAGACAAAAAGACGAAAGTGCCAGTCCTGTCCAGTGGCAGGAGCCTGGCAGCATTCATTACCTCCAACCTTTCTTTCCATACTAGAGACACCTGTTTAAGATGCCAATTACAAGCAAAGCCTCCCACCAGCAAAGCTTAGGTGGCAAGTTCCAGAAAGCTAAATAAAATGCTAGAAAGAATCCCTTCAAACCCAGACAGATTCTGTCAGCCCAGAGCCTGGCAACCAGGGAATGTTCTGGGTGTATTTTGGATTTGGGGGTTAAAATTTTTTTTCTTAGTATTTATTTTTTAGTGTATAAGTATTTTGCCTGCAAGTATATACACATATTATATACACATATTATATGCAAAGGCCAAAAAAAGGCATCAGAGCTCCAGGAACTGGAATTAGAGCTGTTTGTGAACAGCCATGGGAGTGCTTAAAACCAAACCTGGGTTTTCTGCAATAGCAAATGTTCTTAATCGTGAAGTCATCTCCACACAGGTTTTTTTTTTTTTAAATTTTATATTTTTATTGTATTTTTTATTTTTTAAAATTGTGTGTACATGCAGGCATGCTACAGTATGGCCATGGAGGTCAGTTCTCTCCTCCTACCTTGTATCTGTGCTGGATGTTCCAGGCTGGCTGGCCTACCAGCTTCCAGAGGATTTGCTATAAGAGTACTGGCATTACAGCTATGTACTACTTGGATGTGGTGGTGTAAGACTGTAATTCTAGCACAAAAACAAGTGGATCTCTGTGAGTTCAAGGCCAGCCTGGTCCACATAGTAAATGCCAGGCCAGTCAAAGCTGCATTATGAGACTCCATCTTAACAAATAACAAAACAAAAAAAAAAAAAAAATGTTCTACTGCATGAGCTTTTTACATGAGTTTCAGGGATCTAACCCAGGTCCTAGGCTTGTGAGGCCAAGCACTTTTACCTGCTAAGCCATGAAGGAGAAACAGCCCTGGCCTGTTCTGGGTTTTGTGTGACAGTCAAAATAAAATCCAGGAGTGTTAGGCTTCCCTTTAGAGTACAGAGTTGGAAAGGATATCACATGCACTTTAACAGTAAGGAAAAGCCTGACAACAAAGAAGACTTTTCTTGACATTGTCAGGGCTGGGGTCACAGTGCAGCAAAGCATAAGGAATAAGGAAGAGAAGCCCATCAACAGGAAACTGGACATGAGCACTTGCTGGGTTGTGACAGGAAGAGTCACTGGGTGTAATACAAACAGACAAGAATTTGTAAGCCAGGAATGGTGGCAGAGGCCTTTAATCCCAGCATTCAGGAGGCAGAGGCAGGTGGTCTCTGTTAGAGGCCGGCCTATTCCAGTGAATTCCAGGCTATCCAAGACTACATATTGAGACCCTGTCTCAAAACAAACAAAATAAAATTAAAAACAACAACAACAACAAACCCTCAGCTACATCTAAAGTAACTGTCCAAAGCCTAGTGTGGGTTAGCCTAAGAATGGAAAGCTCTGGGCCCACACACCCAAGTGGAGCTGGTACTCATCCACAGGCTCTTCCTTGAAAGCCTCCACTGGATTGCTCTGATGAAGTCTGGGCTCAGAGTAGGAAGCCAGGAGGAGGAGCCCAGTCCAAAGCGAAGGGAGCTCAGCTGGGGCCCTCTCTTAAAGAACAAAGGTAACCTGTGACTGACAGTGGGGAAATCAGTCTTGTCTCTCTCATTCGGGTCGGAAAAAGAGTCAAAGGAGAAAAGAAAAAAGAAAAACATGTAGGCCTATGGTGATATTTCATTTGTGCTGAAATGTGATTTTATTTGTATGTTAATAAATAAAGTTGCCTGGGGGTCAGAGCTAATAGCAAGCCATACCAGAAGTCTGGCAGTGGTAGCACATGCCCTTAATCCCAATTACATGGCAGGCAGATCTCTGTGCGTTCAAGGATACCACCAGCATGGAGACGACACACGCCTTTAATCTCAGTACCAACCATAGAAGACCTGGAGGTCTGTCTAGATGGGCAGTGAAGAGGAGGTCATGTGGTTGGGTTTACAACCAATGAGAAGGCAGAATAGAAAGTCAATAAAAAGGACAAACACACAGGAAGTAGGTCTCTTGCAGAGAGGTAGGACAGCAGTGGCAGTGAAGGGTAAGGTTTTTAATCTCAGCTCTTAGCTATCGCTCTGACCTCTTGGCTTTTAACTCTGTATTTGGTTCTGTGTTTCTTATTTAACAAGATGGTTACATCTACATAGGCCTGAGGGGTGACACTATCACTGAGCAAACCCACCTGAGAGCCAGGCCATAGGGAAAAGAGGGAAGGTCATCCTTGCCACCCCTCAACTAGCAAGGCCAAGTGGAAGGCACAGGAGTCTAGCACTGAGGAAGGCCAGAGCATGCAGACAGCATCCTTCTGAGGCCCAGAAATACAGGAAAGCTGAAGGCTGGGAATGGAACAGAAACACTGACAACACTCTTTAGAAACAACTTCTGCCCTGAGCACACTTACATGGGGCTGCTGAGGTCCTGAATAAACAGAGCAAAATCATAATCTAGACTGAGCTTAACTGCCAAGCTCACT